CAAGCAGACAAACGAGTATTGATAATATGGGTATTCATACTATCCATTTTTAGTGGATAAAATCCATATTTGATCCATTTTTAAATGGGAGTTATCCAACCCATATCTATGGATCGAATCGGATGGTTACTAATTTTTAAAACCATTTTTCCAAGCCTAGTCAGAAGTAAAACACTATCAGAAAACCTTGGTGTCAAAACCAAAGAAAGCCTCATAGCTCATCACCAGCAGCTGTTCTGCCATTAGATTCTTGTCACTATCGATTCTTATAACATGGACGTTTTCATGGTACCTTCAACCTTAGATGATCTAGATTTTCCTCTAGCCATCACATGTTCTTAGAAAATGAAGAGACTGCGGGAGAGAAGGAGTATGGACAACCAGAGGCATCAATGAAAAGTTTTAGAAAGGTGGTTCGGAAACATTGGGTGTTTAGGAAACTTAGACCACAGGTTTTCCTTCATTACATTTGGATATCAAGGTAAACAGTTGACCTTGGAATGATAAAGATCAACCCCGACCAATTTACATAACAGGCCATTAACTCAATCCATTCAAAACTGGTCTGTCTGTGAAGATACAGAGATGATCTAAATCGATTCCATCATCTTGCGTAGGATCTTATAAGCAATAAATTCATTTATGTATGCAAAAGGAAAACATGTTAGCACTAATCCAAAAGGAGTTTGTTTTTTTTCAAAATCGCTACTTCATTATTATTTCTCTTTTTATATTGTGAAGATAATGAGCACATTGGTGAAAATTTTGACCCTAGTGCTAAATACTTCTTAAGTATGGAGTACTGAAATATTAGGGACCCAAACAACGCATTTATAAGGATTCACACAGACAAACCCACCTAGCTTGGGTTGAGGCATAGTATTCTTTCTATTTTTTATAATAATGGTAGCCGAAGTAACTTGTGCACACCTTAACTATCACACCAGATACCTGAATCCTCCTAATAGTACATATTCGGCTAACTCCGTCAACCAAGACTTAGAGATATGGCAATTAACTTTTAATTGAACCTTGCTCAGCCATAATCTTCAGATCCTTGAATGCACAACTCACCCCATCATTTGTAAATGTAGACACATCCTCCAATCCATCCACTAAAAGGACAAAATATCTTTTAAGTCATTTAGGTGTAATGTATGTCGGAGTTATTTTTGCATCATATGGGTTAAAAAGTGAAGAAATTTGTTTTTTTCTCCCTAAATGTCTTTACTACTTTCATATAATTGTACCTATAATCCACCAGTTTTGAACTGTATGCCATTGATTCTCGGGGATTTGACAGTTACAAGAACAAAAAATAATCGTACCCACACAGGTTTATCTCTTTCTCAGCTTGTGCTCCAGACGTAAAATCCAAACCAACAATAAGCTCAACATATCAATGAACAGCTCAAAAATTACAAAATTTATACCCTACAAGCAACTAGAACAAGCATCTGAGATAGCTACAACAATACTAGTACGTACAAAGAAAGGATTTTGACAAACCTTCGAGACCAGTGTCTATAAGTAGCAAACAGGAAAAACACCATTACAGCAACAATTAAGCCATATAGAATAATCGTAGGGACACTAATTCCACTTGGCCCTTTCTTCTTTTTGCTTTGCAGCAAAAGTGCTTGTGGTTTTATTTTCGCCATGAGTCTTGGGCCTTGCAGGTATAAATATCTGAATTTAAAAAAAAAAAAAGACCAAATTAAAAGACATTTTACCAAGCTAAACCAACAAAAACAGTATAAATATTTTGAGAACAACCAAACTAAAAATACAATTTAAATCTAAGATATGTTGCCAGATAGCAAAGCTAAAATCAGTTTCAAAAATCAACTTAATGGACCAAAATAAAATTTCTTTCACCATTAAATTCTTTAAAAATTTTATTCGTCTTCACAAATTTATTAAATCACCAGCCATTCAAAATCCCATATTCAGATGCAAAAAAATCGAACTACATACCCAGCGTAATCCCACAAAGCAGGGTCTACAGAGGGTAAAAGTGCACGAAGACCTTACCCACCCACCCCCATCCCCCTTGGAATAGCGAGACTATTTCCAATAGACCCTCAGCTCACGGAAAAAAAACAATCCAAAGCAGTATAGAGAAAGGAATAGCGGAAATGAAGTAGTAATGGCAAAATACTATAGACAACCATCAACAGTACTCATAGCAAGATAATACAATAATCCAAGTACAAAAAAAGAAAAAACAGATCATACCAAACTCAAAAGGACAATAAACTACAAGATCAATACTACAAGCTGATACACAAAAATCACATTTTTATATTTGCAATCAAATTGATAATTACATAAAATAAATAATCCCAAAAATATTTTAACTTCATATTTCCTAAATTGAAGTTCCAAGCTAAATTCATCAACACAGTCCAACATTAAAAAAAAAAAAAATTAAGCTCTTTCCATAAACATGGGGTTTGCTTAAAACAATCTGTGAACCGATCTGAATCTATTTCTTTTTCAAATTAACACATGAAACTCTCAGATTCTACTTAAATTTACAAAATCAAGACATTTATTTTAACATATTGTACCTAAATTATGCGAAAAATAAACCCTAGCTACAATTACGATTCGATTTTTGAACAGAAAAATCAACTGAAATATGAAAAATTGAATAAAATTTTTGAGTCACCTGTGAAAAAAAATTGAATTGTTTTTCGTTGTTCTTCACGGTCGCTTCGTTGTCTACTCGGTGGAGATAGAAGAGAAGAATATACACTTAAATTTTGTTTAATTTTCAAAAAATTTGACTTTAATAAATAGTGGCTTAAATTAATTACTCGAGCCAAATGCCTAAAAATAAAAAAATTATGACCTTTATTTCTATACTATTTTGTATTTGTATTGATATTCGACTAGATCTAAATTTATGCATTGTAAAGTTCTTTTCAAGTTTACGTATTGTAAAGTTTATTTTTTGAGGTAGCACATGATTTTTTTTTATTTACTAGAGCTAATCGAATTTTTAAAAATTACTAGTCTTATCAAAATAATTTTTAGGAAAAAAAGTGGAGATAAGAAATTGTATAGATACGCAAAAGTGATAGATAGAAAGGCTCGCAATTTAAATCAAGTGAAGTGCGTCGAGGATGAGGAAGACAAGATATTGATGGAAGAAACCTTCATTAAAGCAAAGATGATAATCATACTTTTACGAACTTTTAAACAGCGAATTGGACAAAGATATTGTGTTGAGGAGACCAAACGTGTTATTAGTAGGTTATTGAGTAGGGAAGAATGACTTATCCCAATGATATTTCGGTAAAATTATGTAAGAGCACCAAACAGATATAAAGTGGTTAATTGAATTAGTTAATGTTATTTTAAAGACGTCGAAAATGTCTGACAAATGAAGGTTAAGTACGATAGTTTCATTGTACAAGAGCAAGCATGATATCCAAAATTGTAACAATATAGGGGTATCAAATTGTTAAGCCACACGATAAAGATTTGAGAGAGAGTGATCAATTTGTAGAATCAATTTTGGATTCACGTTGACACCAATGAAATAGTTAATATAAAAATTGTTTAAAAACACTTTAAACTTTTTGATAAATAATTCAATTTTTAAAAACATTGTATAGGTTGTCCAATACCATGTTTAGCTTTGGATTTATTATTTATTCATATATTGCTTAACTATAAAAAAAAAAAAAAAACATCACACTGTTATCTTATGATGCAATAACTTGTGAAAAATTTTAGACTGTAACTCATATTTTTTTAAAGATTTTCAATTTATTTAATAAGAATATTAAAATCACAAATCGAAAAATCGAAAAATAAGAGAAATAAAAGATGAACCACTTACTAAGAAATTGTTCCAAAATGTGACAAAGAATGAGAGTTTCATATAAGACTATTATAAGACATGAAATATTGAATCTAACTTGAGTTCTAAAATTAACTCTAAAATAATAATTATCCAAGATATTACAAAAAACATTTTTCCATCCCTAAATAATGTTGATGAAAACCCAACACTGACAAATTAATATCAATTTATCTTCTGAATATTATATATTTATTATAAATTATTATGGATAATATAAAATAAGAAGTAAAGAGACTTCAAGTCACTATTGAAATTGTCTTATATTTTAAAGAAAATATCTTAACTTTGTGGACATTTACTATACATTTATAAAAAAATCATTTTGGCATATTTTTTTTATTATGAAGACGTGTGTGATGCTCACCCTTTTGATCATTGTAACTAAATTTAAGTATTAATAAAAGTAAGGATAATCCGACCCGAATCTTCACACAAACATTAAGAATGTATAGTAAATGTCCACAAAGTTAAAATGTTTTCTTTTACAAATAGACATTGATCCGCATCATCTGTTTGTTCACAAACATAGTGAGAAAATGAGTCAAAATGATCCTTTTACAAAGGTATTCAATACTTTTGTAAGGTAACAGAACGTTCACACAATTAAAATATCTCTTAAAAAATTTGAAACAGTTTTAATAATGACTTTATGTCTTTTCTCAATTAAAAAAATGCAACCTAAATAGGTAAGCAGAGGAGAATGCAAAGTTCATCTTATTTAAGTGTATTTATTTATTCTCTTGTAAAATTACAAATATCAGTATATATATGGTGTATAATTTTATTTAAGGGGTGTATAATTCATCTTATTTTAGTGTCTTCAAATGTATATATTTTTCTATCTTTTTTTTAAAAAAAATATTTAGATAATATTAGAAAAAAATTAAAATATAATCCCAAAAAAAAAAACATGTGGCAAACTAAAATCATGTTATTGCCAACAAAAAAGATCAATAAACTAATTAAGACCACAAACACAAGATAAAAATTATCTCTTGATATATTTATTAATCATAGTGGATCAGTCAATATTATATTTTTCCTATTGTTATGAAAGTAGTTACTCAAATTCTTTTAAATATGTGGGTTTTTTTTTCAATAATCACTTAAAGTAAATCTTCTAATTAATCATCATTTATCTCAAAAATGGAGCAAAGAAACTACTATTCAATTTTGATTATTTTTGTATCACTCATATATTTGCCATTATTCATGAATGCAACATTGGTCCATCACAATGAAAGTGGTAAGTTATGTTATTTGTATACAAAAAAATTCCAATTAGTTTGGATAATTTTATTTGTAGTTGAACTCATAGATATGTACATATTTAATAGATTTTTCGATTCATAATTTCATATACAAAAATAAAACTAAAGTTTAGATGAACTCATATCATATGTTTTATATTATATTAGTTTTTTTCTACTTTTGAGACAGACTTAAAGATAAATTTTAATTGAATTTGACCAATTTTATTATTTTCAGTCCAAACTATTGATCAAATTTAAAAATAGTCATTTTCTTTGTAAGACATAAAGTATTTAATATGATAGTATTATTATTTATATTGGAAGATTTAATTCAAGTTGATGTAATGTTAGTCATTTATTTACTATTATTACCTTTAATCTTTGTGTAGAAAAATTATTTAGTAATATGAAGAGTTGATAATTCAAAATATTGCTAGTATTAACAAGTAGATAATCTTACATTTTTCAAATAATATACGTATATATATATTAAAAAAAAAAGTCACTATTGTCTTAGGGGGAATATAATTATAAATTTACTAACAATATTTTTTTGATTGCTCAAAAGCTGCATATAGAGGCAATATGTATTTTTCAACTATAGAAAAAAAATTATATGATTATTTAATAATTCAGTAACTTACTAAAATTTTAGATCATGTGACACAATATAAAATATCGTTGCACTTAATTCGATCCCATAACTAACTTTGAAACTGAGAATTGTTCAACAATTATCGCTAAATAATATTGTATACATTTAATTTTACATCAAAGGTAAAATAATAATTCAAAACATATTAAGAAATTGTTTATGAAGATTGTGATTTTCTTAATTTAGTAAAACATTTATAAAAGATTTTCTCTTCTTATTCTTTTGGAATATTTGTTAATAATAATGGATGAAGTCAATATCTATATATTTTTTTCCTATTATGAGTGAAGTAGTTACAAAAATATAATATTCCTTTAAATATGTGTTGTTGTTTTTCACTAATCACTTCAAACAAATTTTCTAATCATCATATTTCTCAAAAAATGAAGAAACAAAGCTACAATTTAATTTTAATTATTTTTGGATCATTCCTCTATTTATCTATATTTTTGAATGCAACATTCATTGGTCATCAAAAAAATGAAGGTGGTGGTAAGTAATATCATTCTTATAAGCTTCTTTTAATATATACATGTTTAGTCGATTTCTCAAATATAATATACATAATTAAAATCAAAGCTATTGAGTTCATATGAACTCATCATATACGTTTTATCCTTCTCTTCCTACTTCCAGCGTCGATCCTAAAAGAGACTTTTGTGCATGTATATTCAACCGAATCTATTATTTTTGTTTCAAATTATGGGGGTCGAATCCAAAAATAGTCACTTTTCAACCCCATGTATTATTCACGGAGTATCAGTCTTAACGAGTGTGAAACTGTCCTTTAATTTCAAAACCCTAAAGCTATTTCAATTTTTCAAAAACATTCAAGAAAGTGGCCAATAATGTAAGACTCTAGGTTCTGAATCGCGTCTCGATATTCAGATGTTTATTATTATTTTTTCTAATTTCTATTATTTGATGTATGTTGATACTAATTTTGACTTTTTTTATGTGTAGAAACTGAGGATGAGGTGAAGTTTGATTATAATGAAAAGAGTGAAAAAGGACCAAGTAAATGGGGAGATTTAAATAAAGAATGGGAAACTTGCAAGAATGGGAAAATGCAATCTCCAATTGATATTTCAAGTTGTAGAGTCAAAAATATGAGAAAAATGGGTCACATAAAACACTACAAGCCAACTAATTCTACTATAAGAAATAGAGGACATGATATTTCAGTAAGTATTTTATTTATTTATTTTTATTATAAAAGATATTCACCATTTTTAGAATATTCTAATTGATTTTTTATTCTTTTACAAAAAATTACAAGTGGTATTATGAAAAGATTCAATATTATTAGCAAATTAGCTAGTTCTACTATTTCGTTGTTGTTACTGCTTTTTTTCTTTAAATGATATAGTTTTTCTTATTTATTGATATGTTTTTCAATTGTTATATTACCTTTTTTTAAAAATATATATATATTTTGAGTTGTTACGCTTGACTCGAGTCTTTTGAAAATAATATTTTTATCTCTTTAAGGAAGGGGTAATTAAATTCGGCTATACGTTATGGTTTATATATCCTGTCAATGAATAAAATCTAAACTTTATGTAAAAGAGTTGGTGAGTACTTATTAAGCGAAATTAGCGCTTATTGACCTATTTTGTGAAAAATCAATCATATGGGTGAAACATGACCTATTTGTGAATTTCACTTTATTATTTATCGATCGAAAAATATTAATTTTTTGATATATTTTTAGATTTTCATTTTCATCTTTTCATCACAATAAATTATAGGTCCATGGATTTATGAGATAACTAGGACTAATTAATAACGAATCAAAAAAATCAAATCAATTACGATGAAATCTAAAATTTAAAATAATATAATTTAAATTCTGAATCCGTCTCTGATCTGATTATATTATAACGCAGATGCATTGGCATGGGGATGCTGGATCAATTTTGATGAATGACACAAACTACCCTCTTATCCAAATTCATTGGCATTCACCATCTGAACATACTATTAATGGTAGAAGGTACTAATAATATTTTAATCCCTTCGTTTTAAATTATCTATCGTTATTTTAAAATTTTATTATTTAAAATTATTTATTATTTTAATAGTTCAAAATAATAAAAAATGAGGCAGGAAAAAGAGATTACAAGATACAGAATCGAACTTTTACTAACAAAGTAAAAGATTAGTTAGTCAATCAACTAGACTTCTACTTTTTCTTAATTGAATATTTCATCCTTAATAATAATAATTAACACATTTTAAAATTTTATTTTTTATTCTCCAACTAATGATGTAAAAATATTTTCACATAAATTATAAATGTTAATTAATAACCTAATAAATATGAATTTCCAAAAATATTTCACTGAATCCTTCTCTTTATTTATTTGCTATCTTTATCTTTGTATCTGATTTGATATATAATATTTTTAAACATCGTAAAATGTTTAAGAAAATATATTTTAAATTTAATATTACTTTTTATGTTGGAGCAGTTTTTCTTTATGAGAAATTTTTTTAATACTTGAGCTGTAAAATAAATTATAAATATTTATGTCTTATAAAATAATTCAGTAATAATAAAGATAAAATTATTTTTAAATATATGATTTTTTTTATCTACTTTAATTATTTTTTTATATTATTTGAATTTTGAATTGATAGGTATGCATTGGAATTGCATATGGTTCACCAGGAGCAGGTGAATAAAAAAACTGTTGTAAATGCTGTCCTTTACAAATTTGGCAAACCAGATCCATTTATTTTTATAGTAAGTATTTTTATTTTTTTTTCCCTAAATCTATTTATTGTCAATAATAATTAAATTTATCGACGTAAATTTAATTTAGCCGAACCTAAAATATTTTTTATTACTAGTAGGAAAATTCATAGTGGAAAAAAAATCCTCTTCCTTGTTTTTTTTTCTTTTACTGTTTCAATCAAATATCAGTGGAAATAACCTCTGAACATTTTTCAGTGATTTTTTATTCGTATTTATCGTCGCTCCAACATTTCCTTTCGATATATTTATATTATTATTTTTTATATTATAGTTGAGGGCACATATATTATCTATGATAGATCAAGAAGGTGAAGAGAGGAGTTTGGGCATAATTAATCCAAAGTATATTACTAATAATATTCACAAAGAAAGTTATTATGAATACAAGGGTTCACTCACTATTCCTCCTTGCACAGAAGGTGTTACTTGGATAGTCAACAAGAAGGTAAAAAAATTATTTTTTTTAAAAATAAAATAAATACAATTTTTTAAATATTATAAAAAATTTATATGAGATTATTAGAACTAAATAATTAATTAAACATTATTTATTTTAGGTAGAAACTGTTTCAAGATTTCAAGTGAAGTTGCTTAGAAAAGCTGTACATGATGTAAGTTCCCCTCTACTTTTTATTATTTCGATTGTTTTAATTTATCTGTCTAATTTCTTTCTTTTAAAAAAAATAATCTTTTATATATATGTTAATTCTAATACATGTTTAAAATCATATATTTCGATAGATTATGCATATATTTAATATGAAACAAAATCGTCAAAGTTTTTTTATTTTACTTTAAAAATTTTGTGTCAGATCAAATTACGAGATATAAAATGAAATAACGAAAATAACATTTTGAATGTTTTGTATTGTTTTTTTTTTTAAAGTTTGATTTGGTATTATATATATATATATATATATATATATATATATATATTATGTAACAATATTTATTTATTATTATTTCAGCATGCAGAAAGAAATGCAAGGCCATTGCAACCAAATAACAACAGAGAAATTCAACTTTTATTCTCCAAGCACTAGAGCATGTCAATATTCACTAGCTTTTGAGATTCGACTAGTTCAAATTCGCATTGAAAAGTCTCCGGAACTACATTTTTCTTTTATAAAAATTTTAGAAAAAATGTAGTAGAAAAAAAAAAGAAAAAAGAAAAAAATTTGTATTCTATATTTGTATTAAATTTTTATCTGAATATTGATGGAAGACATGAAGAAACAAACTAAGACTAAGCCAGATTCATGTTGCATGGAGCTTTCTTATCAAAGATTTTTCTATTTAGAGGGATCGAAACCTCTCGATAAAGAGAAATCACACTTTCAATTTGTTAATCAAGAAGAGTGTATGAGTGTCTCTCGTTAAGCCTCGAAAATGGAAAAACTCCTAGTAGAGAGAGGATTCCCTTAAGTGGGACGTTACATAACGTCAATCCAGATTAGTCAGACTAGTAAATTTCGAATACTAGGTAAATCAAAGAACAAAACATAGCAACAAAATCTACACTCTTGTCAAGTTTAATGAAGTTTTACACAAATACTTCATTTTGCCATATCTTCTTGTATTCTATACGAGTTCAACAGAATTCAGTAGTTTTCCTCTCGAACTAATATTTGTATTGAGGAGAATCCACTCAATACATATAACTAATCTATCTCGAATCTAGAAAAGTAGAAAGGACAATGAGTTCAGAACAAGAATAAGTGAAGAATGTTCGACAACTCCCCTTGTTGCAAGTAATGACATGTAAAATTCCTCCTCGATGCTTACCCTAGTAAACTCGTGAAAAATAATGAAGTTATAAATCATACCAATTGTTGCAGTCGTGACTCGTGGGCATTGATTTCATCGTTGAAAAGCTTGTCAATGTCGCGATGAAGAACCTCATCTAACCATTTCGGTAATATTAGAGCATGAACTGGACCCTCCTCTTGTCTGCCTTGTATTATAGGATTTGCAACTTGGACATTTATGTGCTACTATATGAAAGTTAACCTCAGATGTTTCTGCACAGTCGTTGCAAAGAATCCAAACCTAAAACTCAACGAAATTCAAATGTAAGGCAAAAGGCGATCAAATTCATGTACGAAATTACAAATGGATCGATAAACGTGCTCCTTACCTTCTTGTCCTGATACATTTCAGGCATAGCTGTTGATGCAACCTAGAATTAGAAAATAGACGAAACTTGTCAGTTTGAAGATAAGAGTCGGGAAAAAAAGTGTCAATCAGCTTAGTAACTACTCCCTCAGTTTCAATTTGTTTGTCTTACTTTCCTTTTTAGTCTGTTTAAGAAAGAATACAACTTTTCAGTTCTAACTTTCCACACGACACGTTTAAAACATTAAAGGTCATTTTGGTACATTCTACGTATCTTTAGCTTAAGATCAGAAGATCCAAATGCCTTTTTTATTTTCGTAAGCTCCGTGTCTAGGAAATTAGAGACAAACAAATTGAAATGCAGGGAGTGTATAGTGTGTACCTCCTGGTCCAGTTGCTCCCAGACTCGAGACATGTCACAGTATGATTTTGAGCAAACAGGACAAGAATACCTGCATGCACAAATTATTGGAACCGAGCACAATGCAACCAAAGTCTATGTTGCTCGGATCATCCAAAAATGCATAGCTTTTGGAGGATCCGACAAACAAGTAGCGATATTTTTTAAGACTCCGAGCAACATAAAACAAACGGGGAAGGGTGTTCTGTTATGGGATCTTTAAGGAATTGATTGTTCATAGAAAGTCATAACACGTTATGTACGTACTGGAAATGTTGTTCCATCTGCATGACACATTCCAGATGCATTGTGTGACCGCAAGGCAAGACGATGATGTTTTTTGTTGTATCAAAAATATACTGCATGAAGTTGAAAGAATTACGAGGCAGAGTTAGGAATTTTACTAAGGGGGTTCAAAATCTATCATATATATACATAAAAAAATAATTTTGATACGTCAAAAAATATACGTACGCTATATCTCATTCTGAAAAATATAGTGTAATTTTTTGACATAACCCCCTTACGGGGTACCGTAGGTCCGTTTCAGGGTTGTCATCGGAATTCTGCCCTTACCTCAAAGCAAACAGGGCAATTGTGGTGCATCGCTCTTTCTATACATTTATGTGATTCCTTCATTGAATTTGTATAGCAGCATCCTGCAAAAGGAAGGATGTTCCATAACACTAACAAACTGAAGACAATCTAATAAGTTGTGATGCTCGAACTCTCCAAAAATGTCGCTGCACTGATGTCGGATAACCCATATGTTTAAGATTCCACTGCTCTTGGAGGATCCGACACGCACCACAATAATTATAGAGAGTCCGAGCAACATTGTTGTTAAGAGCTTTTATTGCTGAAGTAAGTTCTAAGTCAAGATTGAGCATCACACTCACCACATGTGTCACAGTGAAAGAAATTCTCCTCGCCACCCGTTCTGTTTTTCAAATATTTTTGAACCGGAAAATGATGAATAATATAATTAGACACAATGTTACCGCACCAAAAATATACAACGGCATGTGCAGATGATGCAACTGATGTAAGTTTAACTGAAATGGTAGTAAATTTTCGTTATTTTTATTATTTCCATCTTTCTCATTCTTAATTTTCTATTGCTATTTTTTGTCTCTTATCCCTCGGTTTTATTACTATCATGTTTTTGTTACGGGCTATTTTTCCATAAGTGTTGTGTTTTTGCGTTCCTTGAGCCGAGTGTCTAATCGTAGACAGCCTCTCCAGACCCCACTTGTGGGATTACACTAGGCATGTTGTTGTTGACACGGGTGCAACAACATTTTTGAAGAGTCCGAGCAAGATAGCTTATGTCTTTTCATGGCTGTAATGCAGATATAGAAAGTAAAGAGACACAAGAATACTAAACTAGACTGAATCATTTCTAATCCCTACCATCTACAATCAACCACAAGTAATCCTAATTACATATGGAACTCGTTAACGGGACATCATTTAGCATGCACTTAAAACGAAGCACCTTCGTAAGAAAGGTTGCCTTCAGCCCATTTTGTGACTACAGACCAACCTATGTTTCAGATGTCGTTGGCTTTGTGTTTACACATATATGGCCTAATTTAGGAAAATGCATCAGAGAACCGATAATGATGTACAGTATAAGAGAAAGATATTAACCTGCAGATTCCACATTTATCACAGTGGTATTGATTCTTCGAGACCTAAAAATAGCAATCATCTTGTTAAAGCGTAGTATAAATATCAAGCAAACAGCGTCGTAGACAAATTATTTAAAGAATTTTACATCATCATCGAAGAAGTTGCATTTTGAGCAAAAGTACTTCCCCATGCAAACCCCGCACTGGATGCATTTTTGTTGAACCTGAAGCACAATCAAGGACCAAGCAAATTTAATATCAACTCAAAGACATTTATAAAAACTTGAATCGAGCGGTTAACAATTGAGGGAACTCACATCCTGTTCAGTATTACACAATGAGCAAATGACCTGAAAAACATATAGAGAAAGCATACTCGAATCAATCAACATCAAAAGGTATGAACAAGAATCTTAATCAAATACAATGTGGAGCTATATAGACCGACACCCTTTGTCAGAATATTGTATTGCGTATACAAAAATTTTTTTTGTGTATATAGGTCAAAAGTTACTTTTTATACATACATATCAAATCTTGGACACTCTTAACCAAATTCTTGTTACTACGATTACACCATGACCACTCACACATTATATAAATCAAATATGTCTCAAGCAAGCTGGGATCGACTATATGATTCTTCATTCACCATGTCTAACAGTTTAAGCTCATCTCAGTATAGTATCATATATAACATAATCAATCATAAAAAACACTTGACGTTCTCTATATTTTCCTATGGGGATGACAAAAACTCATGTGGCTAAACGGATCTCCCAGTAGAAAAATGTTCTGCCTATTCACACAATCAAACTAGAATAGCTTCATTGAGAGTTACACATAACATAAAGCCTAAATCACCTGCCCTTTGTGTTCTTCTTCCCTTATCTAAATAAAGAGGATTACCTATTTTAAGATGTGTTGCTCGAGATAGCTTTAGGAGGATCCAACACACACACGGGTGATATTTTGAAGAATCCGAACAACATACGCACAACTATAGAATCTTTATACAACAGAAGAGGGAAAACATTGAAAACTAACCCTTTTAATATCATGACGAGGAATATCGTGTCGTTCGAGTGGATCAACATCTAAAGAATTCTGATCAAGAAATGAAAAACTAATATTAATTCTCACATAAAAAGGAAACCAAAAATTTTTCAGCTGAATATGAAAAAAATTTCTACCTTTGAGTCATTATGGCAATGTCTGCAATCAAATATCTCATCACAACAAGGTGCTCTAATTTTGCATCTCCTTCTATAATGCGAGCACCTAAAGAAGAAAAAATGAAAAACAATTAACAAAATCATGAAACAAACAAGGATTTTTCAAAGAAAGAAAACAAAAAAGATGAGAAATACCCGTAATCCCCGGAACCCATCTCCATCATAGATTCATCACCAGTAAAAGAAAGAGTGGTTATATGTTCCTCCAAAGTACATTCCATTTTCTTCTCCGGTTCGACTGAATCAAGATTATTTTTTCCAACGGATACTCAAAAATCCCTGAAATTTAGCTAATCATGGTAAAATATAAACAAATTCAGATATCAAAAAGTTTGGAACTGCACAAAAAATCATACCTTTAACTATAACAAAATACATATAAAAACCCCAATATCAAGAAAGATCGACTCTGAGCTAAAAATCAGACCTTTAACTATGGCAAATGATATACAAATTCAGACAACAAGTAAAGACTGAAACTGAACTCCATTCTCTTCACCCAACAACAACATACCTAGTGTGTGTACACATACCTTACCGCTACCTCCACGAGGTAGAGAGATTGTTTCCGAACGACCCTCAGATCAAGTAAGCATTTCGAAAAAAGAAAAATAAAGAAGTGAAGAGGACATACCAAATAATAGGGAAAACATTACATAGCATTCATAAGTCAAGGAACAATAACTATAGCCAAAAAATGTGATAACCAAAAGCACGTGAGACAACAGATAATCACAACAATCGCAGGACATGAAACAACGAGAATAATGCTACTACTACTGTATGAGCGGAGAAACAGATAATACGCACCAAACTAACACCGAGCCTATTGCTCAAGGAAGTAAGACAATACTCTACTAACTACTAACCTTCTATCTTAATACGCGACATTTCATTTACTACTATCTAAGGACATGTCTTCAATAAACTAAAGATGCATGATGTCATGTCTAATCACCTCTCTCCAGTAATTTTTCGCCCTACCCCTACCTCTCATTAAACCTGCCATAGTCAATAACCTCTCAAACCTCCTCACTGGGACATTTGCGCATCTCCTCCTTACATCCCCGAATCATCTCACTCTCACTTCTTCATCGCATCGAACACGAAAGTCACTCCGACCTTGTCCCGAATATCTTCATTCCTAATCTTTATCTCTCCATCAATTCTACTAAATCACAAAATTTCTCCCAATGTGTACTCAAAATCCTAGTATTTCAACTAATTATGACAAAGAATTTACAAGTCCAGACATCAAAACAAATCTAAAAATCAAATCTTTAGTTCTGAAAAAATACACAAATTCACACCTCACAGAAACACTGAAACTAAGCTAACAATAAGCCATTTAACTATGACAAAATAAACTGAACTTCATTCTCTTCACCCAATTCTACTAAATCAAGAAATTCCTTCCAATGGGTAACTGACCCCCCACCCCACCCCCACC